GCCGGGGGAGGTATTTACCAGTTCTCCGAACTACTCAAAATTTCCACTACTGGTTCTCCAGAACCTGCTGAATTTCACCCCTGCTTTCAGCCAGTTACACACTCCCATTGTGTTTCTAAATGTACCACACAGGGTTACCGCAGAGATACAAAAAGGAATGAGAAAAAATAGAGTATAACTCATGCAACAGATATAAAAATACAACACATAAGATAGGAACAGAAGATGATGGTAGGATCTTTGAGAATGCTTCTGAGAAAGTTTTTCTCCTGGAACCCTGGATTCAAAGCAGAGGTGGCTTCCTACCAGTTCGCACCTATTCGGTAGAACCGGTTCGTCAAATCTACCGAACCGGTTACAAGAGGTTCCACCAGTGGACCCAGAAAGCAGGCCACACCTACAGAAGATGTTCCAATTTTTTTAGAAACCCACCACTGATTCAAAGGGTCTACTTTTGATACCCAACTGTGAAAGCACAACCGCAGCTATCATTCCTTCCCAATCTTCTGAACAGATAGAGGAGAAGACCAAGACTCTTGAAACCAACCAGTTGCTCATTAAAAGGCTTTCCCATTAAAATACTAAAATCGTCTGGATTTAGCACATCTCAGTTTGCATGCAATCCCTCAGGAAACCTAATCCATGAAGATTCTCAGTCCTCTAGATAGAGTTGTCTAGAAGTTCAACCAGTCTGAAGAAGTTATTTGGCTAAGCCGTGCAATGTTTCAAACCAAAAGAGAAAAGAAATCCAGTTGCCATGACTCATTTTCCAGACTCAAGAAAGGTTGCTCAGCTTTTAAAGAGAAAAGATCAGCTTTGTTTACCAGCTAGCCAGGAAGGACATCCAAATCCTTTCTTCTCATTATGACTTAAACAAGGCCACAATTACAGTCACTATGAGACAGTTATGAATGGGGCTGCCTGGGGCAAATGCGTCAAGGATGAAGAAGCGGTATATTTATAAGGCAAGGAAGCACCTTATCCCACACCTAAGAAGGTTTCAGAGGAACCATTTCCATCTTTGACCATCAATCAGGTAACACAGCTATAGGATATGCACAATGCATGTTGGCATCTTCAATAATAACTATTCAGAGAAACTTGTTAAGATTTTTCTTTATTTCATTTCTTCTGCATTAGCAGAGCTCCTCCTTGGTCTCCAGACTGTGACAAAATGCAGAAGATAAGCTTCTTCCTATTGCTCATCTCTTTATCAACCTGCTTTGCCCAGCATTGGTCATATGGCTTCCAACCTGGTGGGAAGAGAAATGTGGAAAATCTAAGGGACTCCTTCCAAGAGGTAAGTTAGCTTTTGGCAATTTCAATCACATTATGATGCAATGTTTTGCCATTTATGGTGGTCTTGTGACAAAGCAAATAAATATTGGAGTAGGTCTCACATCTTAATACAGAAGATTCTTAAAGTGAATATAAAAATAGATCCAGAACTTTTCTTTTAGGTTCAATAGATAAAGGACCTGGAAAAAAAAATATGGCACTGATGTTATATATGTGGACGGCAGCAAGAATACTTTTTGCACAGAAATGGAAGGATACTTTGATTCCCACAATGGATGAATGGCTGCAAAAGTTGATGGAGTTAGCAGAGATAGTTTAATTTGCTTGCTTTGATTAAAGAAAAGAATACAATTAATTTTGTTTCTAATTGGAAACCACTTTTGGACTTGGTGCTTGAGGTGGGGAAAAAACAAAACGTTGATTTTGGGTTTTGTGGATTAGACAGATTAGTTGTTATAGAAATGACTAGTATATATTATATAAAAGTTAAAATTCAAGATTGTATGTTTTTTACCTT